CCCGCCGCATACATTCCACAATTAATGTCTTATTATAAGGTACTTGCTTTAATACCTATCTCTCTGATCATACCTTTGTTACTAGGTTTTAGGGTGCTGGCATTTAAGTGGTTTCCAGGTTCTTTCTGTCTAGAACAAATAATTGAATGAAACAAGCAAAAATGGTGGCAATGTTTCACATTTATTTGAGGTAGGAAAAATTAAAAGTGAGGGGTAAGTGAGAACTGGCTCTGCAGAGTGAGCTTGAGCTGAGTAGAAGAAAAGAAAAAATACAAATCAAAATAAAATAAAAGTACACCTACAGCATGAGAGCGGGCTACTATGAAGAGATACAATAGAGAGCTCTTCATGGCGTTTGTATCCTTTTATTCATTCCACATATGGCTGGAACCCGCGAGAACTCCACATAAGGAGCTTGCAGAGGTGGTTCTGCGGAGCTGCGTAGATTCTGGGATTCCGACGCACTTCGATTCCCAGCCAGCCTAAGCCACCCATGTGTCATCTCACCTCTGTCCAACCAACAGTCCATGTACTTTTCAGAAGGTGCAGACATCAGTAAACTTTACCCCTAAACAATTCAGCATGCATATTGTTACGTACACCTCAGTATTAAAGTAAAATTTGCATATAATCAAATGCACCAATCTTAAGTGCACCATTCAATAAGTTTTGCCAAAAGTACACACTCATGTCACTCAAACTTCTGTCTAGATGTGAACTATCACCTTCACCTCAGAAAGTTCTCTCATATCCCTTCTTAGTCAACTCCCTACCACCATTCTAAGATTTCTCACCATTAATTTTACCTATTCTAGGACTTCATGTGAACGGAATCTTATTTTGTTCTTTTATGTAAAGATTTCCTCACTCAAGATAATAATTTTGTGATTCCTCCATGTTGTTTTGAAGAAAAGGAGTTAGCTACTTTCAATTGTTGAGGATACTGCTCTGTTGGAATACACTACTTTTTGCCACTATTTTCTTCTTAGACACCAAGGCTATTTCCACTCTTCAGTATTCTAAATAAGTATACTATGAAAACTCTTGTAAAGATCTATTTGTGAATGTTTTCATTTCAATTGGGTAAATATATAGAAATGGAATTTCTAGGTCATAAATGTATGCTTAGTTTTATAGGAAACTTCCAGAACTTTTTTAAGGAGTTGTACCTATTTTATTTTATTTTACTTTAGTTCTTTGAGACAGGGTCTTGCTATGTATTTCTGACCTTGAAATTGCTATGTAGCCCAGTCCAGCCTTGAATTCACAGCAGTCCTCCTGACCCAGTATCCCAAGTGCTGGGATTATAGGTATGCACCACCTAGGAATTATATCAATTTTAACTCCCACCAATGATGTATAAGAGTTTCTGTTCCATGTCATCACCAACATTTGGTGCTATCAGTCTTTAGGATTTTAGCCATTCTGGCAGATCATTGTCATATTACTCTTTGAATTACAAAATAAGAATATTCACAGTGGAGTGTTTCCATTTTCAAAGGGTGACTGAGGCAGTATTTGTTTGCATGTCCTCCCATTCCTATAGCTGTTCCAGTTCCTTAAATTGCTAATTGAAAGGAGATTCATAATTTGGTGGTTACTTTAAATGCTTTTGGATCCAACTTGAGCTCTGTAATTTTGTTGAAATCAATTTTGTGGGGTGTTTTTCTACAAACACTAAAGCTTTGAAATTATCAAAATGATCAGATTATCTCTTGATTTACACTCAATAGAAAACATAAGTAATCATAATCTAGTCACTAACTCATAAAGTCTGACTGAAATAAATGAACATCACCCCAGGGTGGCTCCCATAGACCAAGCTTTGATTAATAAGAGTGAATCATTTTAGAGTAAGCATACATAATGCGGTAGAGTTGCCTCTACTTTAAGTTGTTTTTAGGCTCCAGAGGAAGCCCACAGGTCTAATTTTATTTTAATATAAATATTAAGTCTTATAATTTATCCCTAAGAAATTTCAAAAGCATTCAAATTGCTATTTTTTGCTTTGTCCCTAGTCTCCATATTCCAACTCTCATTCACTTGTTATGAAAATGACCTAAAGGCACTTAATGCTGCTCAGAAGTATTTTTTGTTCACTACTTATAACATGAGACATATTATAGCCCATTGGTCAATTTGTCTTTTAATCACTCTTAGTAATCAGTAATAAGGAAGCATTTTAGAGCTTTAAAATAGAGACATAAGTTGTATAAGTCCAGAGGATAATGTAAGCTAGTCTAGGGAGCCTGACACACTAACAACATAAAAAGTATCAGCTTTTCTACTGCTCTTTAATTTGTTCCTTTCTTTCTCTATACTTCAGTTTTCCAAGATTATATTACTGGTGTCACATAGTCAGCTCCTTCCCACAACATGTAGAAGGAGCATGAAGGCTCTACCTCTTTTTGAATCTCCGTGAGTTAGAGGCCCTGGGAGATGGTATCTACAGAAATGTTTTGAATTAGACATTTTCATCTCTATTCTGACTAGCCTTTTTTCAGTAGCATTTTATACACTGCTTTATCTCTCTCTAGTTAATAAATGATAATCAAAATATACTGACTCTTAAGATACATTAATGCAGTCATCATTTGTTTAAATTGCATAAAATGTCATCTATATATGAAGTTTGCATATTTTTGGAATTAAGCCACTAGGCATATATTTTGTACCTCTGAAAATAAGAATACCCTATGGCTTGGGATGAGGCCATACTAATTGTCTCACTCATAAAATGTACAACACACATGGAAGATTTATAGGGCTTTGTTTCTTTTTTCTTTAATCTGCGTATGAACCACCAGGGCCAATGTTCTGAATAGGTGAAAATAGGCAGTTGTAATTGGGATGATGAAGAAACACAGAAAAGACCTTCCTGTCTTAAAATATTTTTTCTCTAGCTTGCCTTTGGAATAAGACATAGTCTTCAGATTGTTCTAAGAAAAGCAATGTATTATCAGATAGTATACTAGAATCATTTTTTATTATAAGAACTGTTGATTTACAGTTAGCATTCAGAATCTAGCAGAGCCATTAGGAAATGGGACACAGAGACATCTCCAGTGCTAAAGATGATATGAAAAAAATGTTTGTGGGGATGATGGGCTGGGCTGTGGTGGGCTGAGGGGCACTCCTGGTAGCAGGCAGAGGACTTGAAGGCAGAAGGCACCTGTAGGAGGAAGGTCTAAGAGAAAAACTTCCCCTCAAGTTGACCTGCTTCCAATGTCAGTCTAGGGCTGGACCGCAGGAAACAAATGAGAAAGTAAGGTAGTCTTAATTTCCAGATAAAGCCAGATTTCACTGTAGGCTCCCTGAGGCACTTTGTTCTGTCTGACACAGGAAAGACCTGAGATGACACTGCAGGTATCACAGATACGGAGGCAAGGAATTTTGCATTTTCCCTGAGTTATATAAGCCATATGGTTAGATAAGCTCTTGTCTCTTGCTCATTCACTAAATAAGTATTAAAAAATAAAACTAATTATCATTATCAAGTGTTGTGTACATACAAATTCTTTTTACTGTGCTTTCAGATCTTAAAAATGAAGCTACCATTTTTTCTGATATTTTATCACTGACATTTTGCCACTGACCCACTTTACAAAGGAATCAAATCCAAATGCTACATTATTTAATCAGAATGCATTGCATTTTAAATAAATGGGGATAGAAGTAAAGAACACATTAGGACATTTGACAGAGTTCATTTTTTGGCTTTCTTTCATCTCAAATGTATCATCAAACTTTATCCCTTTTTTAGTTTCTGTTATTAAGCATGCCATTTTAGTTGCATATAAAATAAAGGTACTATTTTATCAATAACTTATTTTCTCTTTTTTGGGGGGTTAAACCTTGAATGTAAGTCCTTCTCACTGAGCTACATCACCGATCTATTTTTTTATTTTTAAGATAGAGACTTGCTAAGGTGTTAAATTGCCAGGCTAGGTTTTCCCTTGTGATCCTCATGCCTCAGCCTCCCAGAGTATTGAGAATACAGGCCCAGACCACTAGGCCGTGCTCATTTCTCTCCTCTTAATCAAAAACAAAAAGTGATCACTCCAATTTTATCATGTATACTAAGGAAAGACTCAGAAAGACCCAGAAAATAAAATTTAGAACAAAATTTCAAGCACAAATTCAGTGTTCAGCTGACGTGGTAGCACACACCTGTAATCCTACCTCTTAGGGAGGCTGAGGTAGAAGGATCCCAAGTTTGAGTCCTACCTGGGCAACTTAGCAAGACCCTATCCCAAAATAAAAATTTTTTAAAATTACAAAGAATTGGATCTGTAGCTCAGTGGTAGAACAACCCTGAGGATAATGCCACATGTTTACAAAAAAAAAAACAAGCAAGTTCAATGTTTATTTAGCTTAAGTTGTTAAACATAATTATTAGAATTTGATTGCTTCTCTCTTTTTTCATAAATTTTTGTATTTTAATTAAAAATATTTGGCCTTTCATTCATAAATGAGCCATAAGAAAAAGAGGAATAACCTTTAGACTGAGATAAAAAAAAAACCTTAATAAAAAAATTGGTAAATTGGCTCTATAATCATATTGTGCTGTGGCCCTAATATTAAAGAATTATCTTATAAACATTAATTGAATAGATCTTGTTCATTTCTCTAAAAACAAGAGTTTTTAATCTCTTTTTTCAGGCTAGGAGATTATTATGGTTTAAGTATATTTTGGAAATTTATTCCAACAGTAAAATTGAAAATGTCTGATATTTTCAGTTACTTAAAGCATTTATGATTTTAAGCTCCCAGCAGAGGTCTGCTGTGAAGGGGGAAAGTTAAGAGCAGTTAGTCAGAAAGACACTTATGTAAGAACTGTCACACCGGTTATTGGTTTAAAAGCAGGAAGCCTTGTATTTTAGACTCAAAACTTGAAGGAATCTTTATTGAGCATTTTCCCTTCGCAGAGCCGATGAGTGAAATCTTCAGACTGTTCACAATTTTTTTGTTGTTGTTTTTGTTTTTTTATTCTATTGCAGCCCAGAAGATGGTGAGATACATCCAGAAATCTGCCGGCTTTACATACAGCTGCAGTGCTGCTTAGAAATGTACACGACAGAGATGCTAAAATCCATTTGTCTGCTGGGGTCTCTTCAGTTGCATCGAAAAGGTACCTGCATTTAGTAGACTGCCAGAAACACTGAAAAATTTATCTACACACAATTAGAATGAATTTAAATATTCAGGAAGTGTTTGGGAGATGGAGTAATAAAAAGTCCACATCACTGCTGTCTAAGTGTATAACAGCACTACTAGCTTTGAACAGAAATGATGGTAGGAACAGTTCTTGAATTTATTATTTTACCATTTCTGAACATGACTTTCATTAGACTCAGTATAAGCAGCAAAAATATATAATGATCTTAATAAGGTAATAAATGCTTTCCAAGTGTGCTGGTATTTCTCTAAATGAAGTAAGTTGCAAGAAGACAAATTACATATTGTCCCAAAGACATAAAAGCTAGAAGACCTCAACAAATAAGAGGGAAATATATGAGTAATAAAAAATCTCATTCCCTGGTTTAACCCAAAAGGGAGTATATTGGCTCCAATTGACTGCACCTCCTCTACAGGTGGTTGAGGCTTTGGCATGGGTAATTTTTAATTAATATTGTAGGTACATTCTAGGGAGGCAATGTAATGACATTCATCATTGAAAATGTGCACCTTTACATAACCTCTCTTGGTTCTTATTTTTTCCTCATTCCCCTGCCCTCCCTTCAAACCTTCCATCTCTCCCTACTTATAAAGACTGCTTCCATTTTTACATTTTCTCATATTAATCCCATTCCCTTCTTTCCTTTCCCCTACCCCTCCCATTTCCCTTTTCCCTTTGCCCCTTTTCTCCCTTTCTCACATTATCTATTATACTATTTAGTCCTTATTTACACTTTCAGTTTCTCATACTAGAGAAACTATTCAGTATTTACACATGTGTGTCCTATTTATTTCACTTAAGAGTATGGCCTCCATGTGCATCCATTTGGCTATAAATGTCTCTAATTTCTCAATTTGTATGGCTGAGTCATACTCCATTTTATTAAAAAAACCACATTTTCTTTATCCAGTCTCCAGTTGATGGGCAATTGGGCTGCTTTCAAGTTTTAGCTATCACAAACTGTGCTGCTATGAACATGGGAGCACATATATCACTGTGGTATGATTCTTTTAATTCTTTGGGGAAGATACCCAGCAATGGAATAGCTGGGTCAAATGGGGCTTCCAGTCCTAGTTCTTTGAGGTATCTCCATACTGATTTCCACAGTGGTTGCACCAGCCAACACTCCCACCAGCAATGAAGCAGGGTTCCTCTTTCCCCACAGCCCCGCCACAATTGGTTATTGGTTGATTTCATGATAGCAGCCATTCTTTCTGGGGTGAGTTGGAATTTCAGTGTTGTTTTCATTTACAGCTCTCAAGTCACCAGTGATGTTGAACACTTTTTCATATGTTTGCTATTTTTTCTACTTCTTTGTCTGAGAAATGTCTGTTCATTTCAGATGCCCATTTTTG